ATGTTTCACAACAGTCAAAGTCAAAATAATTCATACTTGTTTATGTCCTTCCTCAACATTTTTATTCACTGAATATTTAATTTCGTTATCTAATAGTAAATAGTGAGTAAAAGAATTTTTTAAACGCAAAATTTATGATACCTTCATTTGTTGATGAACCTTGTCGTGTAAATATTCCAGTAGCAATTTCTAATAAATCATCTGCATAGACGGCAAATATCACTGCTGAAAATGTTCGCCTAACATGAACGAAAAAATCGAGTGGAATTGGTATACCAATGTATCCTTTGAATATTTTGCCTTGTTGAAATGAGACTCTTTTTGTAGTCAGAGAGAAAATCACAATGAGCAAACATGCAGCAGGAAGAGTAATAACATTGAACTCTTGTCGAACATCCATCACTTTACAAATCGAATGTCTTTGAAAGAAAAGTGATTCATTCTTCTTGAATTTATTAATTATATCATTATGAATAAGTTGTAGAATGGTCCATTTGATGATGAGAGTAGCTGTAGCTAATATGAGAGTACCAATAACAATAATAAATGAAAGAATATGACGAGAAGATTCTGGTTCAACAGTAGAGACAGTTGAAAATTTTCGATGAACATTATGAGTGTTTAATCTATTACACGAAACTAGAAGGAATGAATATTTATGCATCACAGAACAAACTTTTCTGTCTTGATCGATGGATATTTTCGCTTCGTACGAATATGATAAATTAATTGTAGGCCATAAAAAATCACTATCAACACAAATAGCATAACACCGACTGTAATAACTTGTTTGCCACTACTTGACACTAGAATTGAATTTGCGAAATATTCTATACAATTAGAAGAAAAAAAAAATCATCTGAAGTTCCATTACGTTTCCGTATCCGAATCCTATCCAGTTAACTATTTTCCAATCTTGAACACGTTCCTGAGCATCTATGACTTATTTTACAGTGAGCAAACGCGTCTTCGCTCGTTCCAATGTTACCCGTATCACAAACTCATTTATACCAAAAGACGTGTTCATTTTTTGCTCATCAAAAAATTAAAAAACAACCATCACACTGTGTCGAAATCGAACCGACACGTCATAGCGAGATTTGTTTCTACGTTCACTACTAAAAATTACAGAACAAAACAATGTCACTTTGTGATGAATAAATATATGAAATAAAGGCATTGATTTGGATTTTTTTTTCTTAGCACTAGCACCTCAATATCCAATCTTAATAAAAAGTGAAGATACTAGAAGAAAAAATATGTGCAAATATTCTTGTCTATGTAATTTTTTGTGATTATGATATCAAAAGTTTTTTAGCAATCTGAGGAAAAATAAAATATTCATTAATATTTTTCTTAAAGATATAAATTTTAAAAAAATTATCTATCTTTATGTTTGTAAGTAATAAAATTCTATAATGTATTTATCTTTATTGCATGAATATAAAAGTTCCATTTCGAGTCATTTTATTATAGAGCACAATAAAGATAAGCCAATAACTCTATTACAAAAAAGCACTTATGAAATTTCGATAAAGTGAAATAATTGGACATAAAACTATCATATTCAAAGGATTAATTCGTTTGTCTAGAAAATAAATGATGACGTGGACAACAACTTTAAAATTATAATCTACCGTATGCCTAGTAATATAGGGCGAGACATATAATTTCGATAAAAATTAAATATTTTCAATAAAAGATTTGCAGATAATAATCTATTATCATAAGCGTACTGATTTATATGATTAATCGGCTAAATCAAACCCAATTTAATTATATTTTAATGATAATGATGCAGTCTGAATGCTAAACTCTGGTTTGATTCCGACACAAAGTAATGATTATTTTCTGACTTTTTTTTTAGAGTAAAGTAAACACGTTTATCTCATAGCAGTATCATAAGTATTAGAAAAGTCAGAAAACGTATTTTAATACATTTTCAACAGGAACGCTTTAGGAGTTTAAGCATGAATATATGACCGATAAAAAGAAGATCATTGAATTATTCTAATTTCAATAAAAATAGATAGATTTTCGTATAGCATCTGATAATCATTATCGATTGAAAATTTAAAGAGATATTTGTGAAAAATTATTCTGCTTGAAATATGTATCATAAAGAACCATATATAGAAATATATTTCGGCTTCTTATTCTTGTTCAAATGAGTTAATAGAAAACTGATATGTTTATCCAAATGAATTAGAAAAGTTATTTTTTTTCTTTCAGCTACCATCTTCTAAATCTAATATAATTATACAATAGAATTTCCTCCAATCACAATACCATTGCAACGAAGATGTAGCACATTGAAGCTCTGGACGCATTTTCTCATAGATGCAACTTCTTTTTTTTTGAAGTATTTATCCTCACTAACTAAACTATATAACTATATGTTCAACTGCGTTTCATAAAGCAATGCATCCAGTGAAACACATTTTATCGACTCTGTCAATTAAATAGCATTAGTGAAAAAGACATAACTTCTTTCCATTATTAAACGTGATTAGAGACATAAAATGATATGAGTGCATCCCAACATGTTTCATAATGAAAGGTAAAATACGTTTGTATGCGTTTAGTCTAAAACTATGCTCCGAAACTATGAATTTTCTGTAAACGCGTTCGTGAAACACGGTGATCGGTGCATTTAGATGCGCTTCCGTCATGATTCCATATAGAAACACGTTGGAGCGCCGAGAATTTGCAACATAGACGCGTCTAGCTGCGTCTAAAATACGTTTCATAGTTACATGGGTATTCGACTCCTTCAAATTAGTTATCTGTTTAGACTCACTGTCATTGCACAAAGTTCCATTCCACCAAAATTTGCAAACACACGTCCATTCACCGTCAAGATTATTGTAACAACGACCATTTCGTCCACATGGATTATATACCGAACAATCTGGAACATATACATAGTTGAAGAGTAGATAATAGTGAATACAAATGGAAAACTTACTATCTCTAAGAACGGTCGAAGTTACAGTGGTATGATTGGTATCAAAGAATAGGTTGCCCTTTATCATCAATCGATGTTCTTCAAATGCCCGTCTGATTTTTTTTCTTCTGCCAATAGTAACAACATATCATTGTAAATATACTTGAGTATCTCTCCAATATGATATTTTAAATCATGTTTCAGAGCATTACACCTCTTGTTTTTCTCTCGTCAATACCTGTGGAATGATGAGAAGAAAAAAGAACGTTGCTGTTTTATTAAGTTTAAGTGTTTTTGAAGATTGTATAACAAATATATTGAAGCAAATATTATATAGTAATGTACTATCGATAGTATATAATGATTATGATTTAATCATCTGATGTCCCTTTATTCTATACCATCCATTGCTTATATATGAACTGTTAAAGAGAAAGAAAAGAGAAAAAAGCAAGACGAGGGAGAGACATAATCTAAACATGTGGAAAGAAGAGGTAGGTATAAAAACTAACCACGGAGCGGTAATGGACAACAATACACTAAAAATAAGTTGAGAATGTCACATAGTAATCCAGAAGATCACCGAGAAGGTGTAATTACGGATTGACTCTAATATATCCGTCCAGTCAACCACCTTCATCGTTAGTTGACAACGAAACAGAAGAAAGAAATACGTACGTTATTCTTTATTCATCGACATTGAAAATCCACGATCTAATTCGTGTTAAATATTATATCCTTAAAGATCTTTGATCGACTTCAGTCAAGAGATGATGAAAAATCATTCGGATCCAATGAACAGGTCGGCATGCTATACTCTATCATATGAGGATGTGGATAAGGGTACTCTCTTAAATTATAATCGACATTCAAACAAAAAATTTGCTAGAAATCATCGTGTTATTAAAAGTCTCGAACGAAAGTTTGACAAATCTAATCAAATAACAAACTTTGTGATAACTGAATGAATAGTTACAACCATACCCATTGATGCTTTACACATCTGTAGAGCTTGTAAATCCATTTCACAAAAAGACTTTTCAGAGACTTCTTGAACTATTTCAAAACACTCAACCATATCCCCTAGGCCTTAGAATAACACAATAATAAACGGAGATATGCATTTAACACAACCTCAATGTTCACACTCTTTCTTTTCAATATCACAATCGATCACAACTACTACAAAACATCAAAAAAAGAAGTTTTACTTTCATTAGCTATATCATTAATCATCCTTTCACTGGTAATCTGCTCCATCCATCACAATTGCAGATTGCATATAAAAAAAACCTATGAAGCCATTTTACTACGAAACGTACCTAGCAAAAGTAATAATCAATGAAATATGTCATTGACTGTGTGTGCTTCGCTCTTCATATTGTCTATCATGCTTCAAGGTCATTCGCAGACGATGATAAAATCAAGAAATCATGTAATGGTACCAGTGAGATTTGGAAACAGAATTTTCACAATGGGATGTTTGCCGATTATTTTACAATATTATTAGCAATACCTATAACAGATGGAATGACCGGGATAAGATAGATATGAATGGGGAGGAGGGGAAAGATGAGCACTAAAGGAAAAAAAACAGTTGAACAAAATTATTGTCTTTTAAAATTGCATCTAAGCAAAGCGCACCTTCTGAAGATTGTTTACGGCAGTAAATCCAGTATACGAGATTTGAAATAATTTCATTGAATATCATCGGTTCTAAGGGTGTGCGTGTGGATGACAAAAGTCATCACACCCACACCCCATCTTCATTCATTAGCATTAATTCAAGTTGAAGAAAATAATTTACAAAAGTTAAAATTAATATTATCTGTCATGCCACAATTATATTCTTTTCATTTAATTGATTCTAATGATATTCATCTAATTGATCCATTAACATCTAATCTACAAATATTATCAAATCTAACATTATCATTCATTAATAAACGTTCATCAATTACAAATCTTACTATTTCTAGTTGTCCACTCGATCAATTATTCCATCATGTGTTTAAATATACACCAATATTAACTTATTTTAATTCTCAATATTTTTCGCAACATTATAATCAGACAATAAATTATCCAAATGATAATATAAATAAAGCTGTTCATTTAAAAGAATTAAGTATATTTAATTTTAAATATAAATTTGAAGATCTCAAAAGATTAGCAAAACAGACACCGAAATTAACAAATTTAAAGCTCTATGAAACTTATGATTTAGATATGATTAATGTTATTCAATGGTAAGATATAATAATATCCTCGTTACCTCGTTTAAATATTATCAAATTTATATTCAATTGTATAAATATAAATCTAATAATGATCATATTCGTAATAAGGGCGTGGGTGTGGATGTGGTTGCGGATAGATGTGGCTGTTTTTTATTTATAGCCACACCCACACCCCACACCCTTACGTTCTTAAAATATGCTCGTCAGATACATAGCATTTAAATTAACATACCTAACGTAAAAAATGATAAATGAAAAAGCTGGAGATTTTGGGTCGAAGAAAGAGAGTCTCGTCTATGAAAACTTTTGTTTCTTTGATGAGTTTCTCCGTCCCTACATAATGAAAATAATATTTTTATCATCAAAAACATTTACTCATGATATTTTAAAGTAGCTACTCAAGATGCCAATTCAATTAAAAACTGAAACTACAATACTTCAAGGTCCTTCGACATCATAAACATTGATTATAAGGCTAGAAAAGCATAAACAATATCACTTAATCAATTTAACACATGATTATTTACAATACAAAGTGAATCTCCAAGCGTTAAAAAAATCGTAGATACAGGAAGCAATGAGAAATCTTTTTCTTTTCTTCAACAATAGTTTTTTATCCTTTTAACTCCCCATGAGTCAATTATGATTGAACTAGAAATAGAGATAAATGAAATCCATCAACTTTTTTCAATGAGATTTGACTGTTTGATTGAACGTTCTTTTAATGTTTATGTGCGTTTCAAAGTTATCCTAGTACCACAAATAGATATTATATAAATTTCGACCTAGATCAGCAACCTTTGAGGATTTTCTGTTCAAATCAAAAGTCATATATGATTTTGGGATCAAACTGAAAATTTCTTAGGCTAAAATTTCATGTTCTCCAAAAGCACTACTTTTTATTACTTTAGTGCTTTGAAACCTTTTGTTTTTAAGAATAAAAAAAGGTAGTACCAAGTTAATTTCGCAAGATGGTTGATGTATGCTTCTTGAATAAAAAAAACAATCAACGTTTATTTATTACAAAATTCAATAAAGTTATTACTGAAAGTCACAGAAGGTCAAATTATTATTGTTTTAACTTTCATCTTCTTTCTTTTCTAATAGAAATGGTAGAGTATCGGATTCAACAGAAAAATCTTTGGAAAGATCATCGATGGTTGAATCAAGATCGACATTAGTTGGACATTCAGGATCATCCAATAATTTTAAATTAAACATATCTATGTCATCTAATGGAATTAAGAGTTTTTCTAAAGCTTCTTTCTTAATCGATGATAAAGATGTTTCATTTGTGGCTGAAATCAGAATGGTTCCATCCTTATAAGTAATTGCACATTTGACATCAGCCGTTGAAGATAATTTCAATTGTAGATCATCGAGAGATTCACCAGTATCATTTAGTGACTCATCCTCATCAATAATCGAACCGTCCGAGAGTGTTAAACGATAGAATTTTTGGTTTAACTTCCATAATTGACAAACAATTTCCTGAGCTCGACGAATAGTCATCTTTGGTTCACATTGAAACTCAATCGAACTCTTTTGTTCTTCACTAGTCACTGTAATATTTGCTTGAAATTTTTGATAGGTTAATTTGAATTCAATTGTCGAAGTTCTAGTAGATAGGAATGAACTCAATGATATTTCACGTGATGGAATAAAATCACGATCATAGAGAAGAGATTGATCTTGATCAATGTTTTTATTATGTTTGTAAATATCACCCACAGTAGCATTGATAAGATATCGTTGATTTTGCATACTTTCGTCATTAATTGCTATGAGTGTATCTTCAGATTGTTCAATAGATGCGAGACATGTTTGATGTTCTTTCGCGAGGAAAAATTTTGTTTCATTGATTGCAGATAACTGTATATTCTCAGATAAGATCATTTTAGTTTCACACGATGCTAAATATTTATAATTATCCTTGATTTCAATCATTCCTAATAATTGTTTAATAGTTATATTTCGATGAGAAATAGAAATTAGAATTTCATTTTGATCATCATATTGAATGATTTGAATAAGAATAGATATTTGAAAATGAACTATTTTTTCAGTCATTGATGCATAGTAACTAATAGGATTTTCCATATCTAAATTATTGAGAATCTGTTTCTCTGATTCATTTGATACAAAAACTAGAGTACAATCTTGTGGCAATATTTTTAGATTTAATTCTTTTAAATATTTTGGATCGCTTATAAGACAATGAACTGAACATGAGTTGAGCATACGAATTGTTTGACTAATTTTATCGTACGAAAGAATTATATCCATGACACTTTCTCTATTGAGTGCATCGACATTGATAGATTCAGCTTGACCAAGTGTAAATGATATTGTCAAATCTTCATCAATAATATGTTTCTGTTCTGTATTCCAGAAATAGTAACTATCAACAGGAGTTTCTGTTTTGATGTCGAGAATTTTTGACCACAAACTAATTTGTTTCCAAGTTGTGGTTGGATTAAAATACTGACTTTGTGTTTTCTCTACAACAAAAAAAGTAAACAATAAAATATAAAAATTTAAACTAATGACCTAGATGAAAAAAGTACCTTGATTTGCTGTAAGAGTCATTTCACAGCAGATATTAGCATTCTCATTGCATCGGAGAATTCGAATGTGAATAGAATTTTGTTCATCAGATCGATAAATATTTTTGATTTGACAATCTGCATCAATGTATCGTCCAAGCGAATCAAAAACACTAAAATAATTTTCTGGTGGTGTGAATTTCAGTTGTTGGTCAAGAATAAAACGACAAAGGATCGAAGTCATTGTAGCTTCTCCTTTAGCAAAATATTCCAATTGATTATTTTCAAATTCTAATACAATAGGAATTAATATATTTTTTTCAATAAGATAATATTCAGTTTCTATAATAGGTAAGACGTTATTTACAATTGCTTTCATAAAATCAACCAATATTTGACTTGGATCAATAATACTAATCGTGTTCAAATCATATTTTTTCTCGTCAAAAATTTTTTTCAATTGTATATAGAGTTTTTCAGGTCTACAGTGATATTTTTCTTGTTTACCATTTTTAAATGTAATAACGAAACGCGTATTAGACGTTTTTGATGCAGATTTTTCTGCTTCTGATCGACTAGTTTCAAATAGAACTGATGGTGGTAAAGAAATCGATGTTATCTTCAGATTAAATGGAGATGTATAATTGATTGTTTCTTGATGGACTACTGGTGATGGCACATCTGAAGGCTTCAATGGCTCAGTAGGAGTGGTCGGAATATCAATTATCTGCCACCAATCAACTACATCTATGTTAGGATTTGTTGGTTCTGTGGTAATAGATGACTGTGAAGTAATAGGTAGTTGTGGACCCGGTGTAGAATCTGGATCTATATTGAAATTTAGAAAATCATCGTCTTTATTTCGAAATACTTGAAAACTATTCTCTTTCGATTGATTTGTGTCTGAAACATCAAAACGAGCGTTCCAAAGGCTTATAGTTTTTTCTTCAATATCAATCATTCGTTCTTGTAATTGAGATCGTATTTCACTTAATTTCAAACACAATGGAACATAATTTTCACATTTAATTTCTCGAGGTATGGATTTTATAATAGAATTTTCAATACTTAAATGTTCGCATGTTTCTACCAACGATTTAGCCCATTGGCCCTCGATATGATTTTCTACATCCTTTAGATCATTTAAAAATTCTGTTATTGTTCGTATCTTAACTTTAAATTCTTCTTTCTTAGTTTGATCATTCGAAGGAATAAACGATGATTTTAACTCATGATCAAGTTCATCGTTAAGTTTCTTATCCAAAGGAGTACGAATTAAATGAGATACATTGATAAATGCATGTTGAAATTGATTGATCAATTGTTTATACAAATGATAAACAGCTTCGATTTGTGATAAAGGAAAATCTTTAATTTGATATTGTTCAAATTGTTGAGCAAATCGATGATCATAAGTTGTATTTTGAATAAATTCTGAGAGTTTCATAGAGGAATAATCTTCAGGAGAATTATTTAAAACTTCTATAATTCGTTGAAGAAAATTTGATTCATTCTGAAGTTGATCGAGATTTTTTTGTTCTAAATGATTCCATTCATCAGCCGATAGAATATCTGAATCTTTGTCCATATCATTACGATCATCGTTGATCTTAAAATCATTTGTAGTAATCGGAGTTTTTCGTTTAGTATAACATTGATATTTTCCTTTAATATGTTGATAATTAATACGACAATAAAGAAGATAGGTTCGAATAAGATACGATTGAACATAAAGAAAATTAAATTTTAATGGTGTATTCAATTTTAGAAAATAATCTTTTTCATTTTCCAGACTAGCTCGTGATAATTGTTCGATCCATTGACAATTCATTTTATTCAATGTAATGACACCCATATTTTCTTGAACTATTTGTAGAATAGATACTTCTCTTTCTGATAATTCAATGATAATATCTTTTAATGGACCTAATTCAAGATTATCACTAGTTTCATTTATTTCTGTTCGAAGTAATTCGAGAAGACTATTATGATAATTGACAAGAACACTAAATTGAAAAATATATATTCATTAGATATGATGTCATCGATATTTATCATCGAACAGATGATAATCGATTTATTTCACTAACAAAAAGGAAATAATTAATTATTTTGTTCTCTAATTATATGATGCTTGCAACTTCAGTCTACTATTGATACGAGCCTAATTTTTACTATAAACTATAAAATATAGACTCAAATTAATTTGATAAAATATGAACAGACAAAAAGTTAGCTCGAAGTTTTGAGTTTATCCTTTCTTTCATTATTCTTAGTCTTTTGCAGGATATTAGAAAAACACTCAAAATAAGGAACTTTCATATGGAATTTTTACGAATGTTATATCTCATGTTTATAATGGTATGCTGAAAATTATAGTTAAAATGACTAGTTTCTTTCAAGAAAATATGTGTGCATAAAAATACATTACTCTGTTGATAAAAGTTTTGAAAATAGACTATTTATTTACCGTCTAATACCTAAAGAACTCATCATAGTTTTAATCTGAGACTGTCAGGATATCCTAAGAAACATGGAACCTGTTATTGAGAGAAATATTCAAGCAGAAAGTTTTCCTTGAAGCTTGTTCCTAATATTCTACAATATACTGGAAATTCAATGAAATGATCATAATTCAAAAAGAAAGACGCCAATGATATGAATCCTTTTTATGACTCATATCTATATTATGAATTCAATCGATGAGTAAGACGTGAACTTAAACTTACGATATTGGTTGAAAAGGCATTCCCGTTAGATTCTTCCCATCACCAATGACATCACACCGATTCAGTATATTTAGTGAATACTGCAAGGGGGAAACAGCGTACTTGAAGTAGAAAAGTATGCTAAAGTACGGCAAAGTAGGCTACTTGAAGTGGTTTAAAGTACCGCTCAAGTAGTTCAAAGTAGGAACAAGTAGCTTAAAGTAACTTCAAGTAAATTTGAAGTTAAAAAGTACTTCAAAGTAAGCTACTTCAAGTAGCTGAAAGTAACTTGAAGTAGCTCAAAGTAACTTCAAGTCCAAAAGTCCGCTGTTTCCCCCTTGGAATACTGACACCAGTGGTCATCAAAATACTGAAACAGATCGCTATAAGATGAACATATCTCGATAAAGTTGGGGTTTCAGTGTTGTAACTAACGCACATGTTTGTGTAGTTAGTAAACACTGGCATTAGCATTATCAGTACTCCAGTGAACTCCTGCGTCTATGGCTCACTCCCGGTATTTTAATATTTACATCAGTACTGCACATTCCTAATATCAATATTCAAAATGTTTTTCTTAGAGCCATCAATTCATTCCTTTAGACAGAAAATTTTTTTTGAAATTTACCTTAGTATACGCATAACAATATCTCCTTCATCATAATTGTCTGTTTCAACGAGATAGCTTATTGATGTTTCCATAGAAATGGTTTCAAAACGTTGAGTAATATCACAAGCACCTGGACGAATTTGTCCATCGGCAAACGTATGATAAGCATTAACAGCTTCGATTCCATTTTCAATAGTTGCACGATATTTATTTTGTTGATTTGGTTGGCGCAAAGAATTGGAAGCTTGATAAGCTCGTTCATATAATTGTTTCAATGTGATTGTATGAAATTCTTCTCCTTCAATTAATTGTGTAAAAGTTCGATGTAAGAGAACATGGAATTGACTTAAAGCATAAACATATCGAGTCATTTTTAGAAGTTCAAATGAATCCAATAATCGTCGTAAAATTGTCAAAGGTAATCGAGTCGATTCTGGATTGCATAATTCAGTTTTAAAATGAATAACTTCAATTACAATAGGCATTTGAGATATGTAATTTTGTAATTTCGTCTGTTGTTCAGATTGTGATTGTAAAGTATCAAGTATTTTTTTATAATCGACTAATTTTTGATGTATTGAATAGAAAATTTTATTTTGAAATTCTTTTTCGGCTTCAAGTTTTTCATTATTTGTTTTATAAAATGGTTTAATCCATAAATTTTGATCTCGTTGACGACTATATTGAGCAAATAATTCAAAACACCGATTAAATAAAAGACAAGCATCATCTTGATTGGAATGTAATTTGAGAAAGAAATTCGGCGATAACAATCGAGTACAAACGAAATAACATACTTTTCCTCGAACATTTTCATTAGCTATCTTTTCGTCTCTTGCTGTAGGATCAACCGCGTGTTTAGCAAGAATTGGATGACAGAGATTGTCTACAGATGATTCAAATAATAACAAATGCCAAGCCTAGATGATCAAAAGATAAACATTCGATACTTAAAACGAATATTATCATTTACTAAACTTACCATAGCACCAAACGTTGCGAAATACGCAATATAAACAGCCGGAACACTGAGTTGGCCTCCCCCATAATGTTGAAGCAATTCTCCTTTTTCAGATATCACACATCCACAATCATAATGAACACCATTACGCTGTATAGGACTAGTTGCAGTCGATCCAAAACCTATCATAGAGTACAAGATACATCATATGAAAGATCGATACTTGTCGATAGATCAAAACTTACCGTACGTTTCTTCAAGTTTCAATGGTTCAAATGCAAATGTCCAGAGAGTATTTTCTTTTCCACTGAGTAAAATCATTGCCAAAAGATTAACCATTGTATGACGAATAGGTAATTGTCCCTCATCTTGATAATCAGTTTTGAATAAATCATTAAGATAATTTTTCTCCTTAATATTATTTTCATTTGGATATCCAATCATATATTGTTCAGGTTGTAAAATAGCACGAAATACTCGTCGTTCTTCATCGGATGGTTGAAGTGTATTTTCAATAATAGTTAATAAATGTTCAAGAGATTCTAATTGAGCATTACAATAATAATTATAATAAATATTTAATAATAACATCACTTTTATTTCAATAACATCGACAATTGGTGGATTTGAGTTTAATTTTGATTGTATCCAGTTAGTTAAAGGTATCCAACGTTGTTCGACATTATTATTTTTGACACATTGATCGATTAATTGAGTTAGTTCATGATATGGTTGATGTAATGTAGGAAAAATCGATGAAGTAGCATCAGTTGTTAATGTAAATTGTAATTGATGACTATAATGCAGATATTTATTACGTTGAATATTATGTTTCGACTCGAATATTTTATGTAATTCATCTGCCCATTGGACATTTAAACGTTGAAGACGTTCTGATTTCAATAGATTAAGAAGAAAATTCCACGATTGTTTAGTAATTATAATTGACAAGAAAAGTTCTATATGATTATTTAGTTGAACAATAGGTGTTGGAATAGTTAAATATTGATTAATAACAGTTGTAAGAATATTATTAATTCTTAATTGATCTTCATTATTTAAATCTGATTGACATAATAACAAAGCTGTTGTTTGTAAAAGAAAATAGTCTTTTAATTGTTTAAATATTTTTTCTGCAATAGGAATTCGATATACATTATTGATTTTTGGTAAACTTGCAAGAAGAATTTTATTGATTAAATTTAGTCCAATTTTTTCATTATTGATTAATCGTTGAAGATGGAAGAAAAATAAATCAATTAACATATAATTTTGATTTGGATTGTTAATAACAGATGGATGATAAGGTATTTGATAATTTTCTAGATTTTCATTATCTATACAATCCATCATTATTGACAAAAAAGAAATACGATCCCAAAAATCTATAAATTGTCGTTGAGCATTTATACGATTTTGTCGACTAGTTTCAATTAAAATTTTAATTAATTCATCAAAAAGAAATTGTTTCATGGGTAATGATAAATGACATGTAGATTGATTTAAAAATTTCAATAGAGATATTATTTCTTGATATGATGATCCTTTCGAGCTTTCTAATGTTGCTATAATCCATTGTTGAATATCAATCATTAATGTACCATTATTACCATGATTTTCTTCAAAATATTGATCAATTGTTTGAATAATACGAGGTAAAAGTTGTAAACAACTTGATCCTTCGAAATTAATATGACGACCATCAATATCATCTTGTATCAGTGATGTATCATTTAATAATTGTTGAATAAGTTTAATTGGTTGTGGTGTTTTTTCATTAAGAAAAATTAAATAAACTAAATTTATAAATTCAATTTTAACTTTCATATGAACAAATTCGAGTCGTTGTAAAACTTTTTCTGATGGATAATATTTTGATATCAATGTATAACTATGAATCCATTGTTTAGGATCATCATTAGTTTGACATAAATGACAGAGATGCGTCCATAAATGACGAAACATTAGTTGAAATAAATTTTCTCGAATTTTTGAACGTGAAATTTGTTCATCTGCTAAAAGGTCATTATAGAATGAATGATTTTGATCAAGACTTTCTATTATTCGACAAGCAGAATATAATGATAAAAGATCATTTTGATCATATTCAAGTGATAAATAAACATGAGCAAGATGCCAAATATTACGATTCAATGCAGAATTTAATGAAACTTTTTCATCATCATCAACGAATAATAACCAACGATAAATAAAATCAATTGTTTTTTGACATTGTATTTGATTATCATGAAAATTTTTCTCAATAATTGTACAAAGAACTCGAATTGAATCGTTTGTATATGATTGAAGAATCGATGTTGATATGATTCTAGCTAAAATTTTATCGTTTGTAATCGATCGAACTAGTTGATTACGAAATTGTTCTCGTGTATTTTCGGTTTCATTTTTATCATTATAACCTTGTGGATCATAATAATCGAAACGCAGATCATCTTCTTGTTCTAAATATTGACAAAAAAAGCATTGAATCAATGAAGGTAGATCTTTGGAAGTAGTATTATACAAACTATGGTTTTAATAGATATCACGTTGAGCAACAAAAGATTGAATATGGTGAATTCTCATTTTAATCAGAATTTTATGATATTTAAGTTGGTACTCTTCAAAATTGATTCTCACAAAATATTGTAAGACTTGAAAACTATATTTTTTGACTTTTCAGAAATCTTTCTCTCATAAGCCATCTATAAAATTTCGGCAATGAAATGTCTTTGATAGAGAATTAAATTAGCTTTTCAAACTACTATATGGACTTAAGTTAAGCGCTTCATATCGTAGAAAAAACAAGTTCATTGCGCCTATATTTTTGTCCAGTACTGTGAGTCAGATCAATGTTTTTCCCATGAATCTTGATAATAGCAAAGTAAAAACCATCAATCGACCGATCAGATGAGTTCTTAGTAAACATTGTTGAAAACAAAATTCTAAAGGTAGTTCTCATTGAATTTTAACTTGCCATATAACTAATGTCGACGCCAAAAGTAAATGGTGAAAACTCCGAGAGGAATATCTTCCGAACGGATGCAGCTAGCGACCTGCGGTTTTCACCAATCGAAAGAGGAGGAGTGGGGGCGTCTTTTTCTCCGATAATGTGTAAGACGGAATCCTTTTATACCTAATCATATTCGAAGAACATGCAAAAGAGCCCATGAAAATGACCTGCCAGCTAGATGAAATTTTGATTTTGACTTTTGATTTAGATAGAGGGACTTGATATCTATAGTTCCAAATACAACGCAAATGGTTGTCTTATTACATTCTAACGTTGCGCAAATGGGATCATGTACTTACATGAGCAAATCATAGGAATTTTCGCTAGTTTTTTACTAAGCTTTTACACTTTTTAGCAAGGTAGCTTGAGATTTCGAGGAAAATGTAGGAAAAAGTAAGAAAGCACATTGTGTCTGGAATTATAGATCTCAAGTTTCTCTATCTAAACCAAAGCTCAAATCAAAATTTCATCTAGCTGGCAGGTCATTTTCATGGGTTCTTTTGCATGTTCTTCGAATATGATTAGGTATAAAGAGATTCCGTCTTATACATTATCGGAGAAAAAGACGCCCCCACTCCTCCTCTTTCGATTGGTGAAAACCGCAGGTCGCTAGCTGCATCCGTTCGGGAGATATTCCTCTCCGAGTTTTCACCATTTACTTTTGGCGCCGACATTAGTTAATAGAATAAATTGTTCTCTTCTAAACTAAGAATGATAATTTCTATAGTGTTCTGTTAGAAAAATATCGTATCTTTCCAGAAATTTCGAATTCATCGATTTTATGCTAGATAACGCGTAAATAGTTCTTGATAAGAGTAGTTGATCAAGTTCAGTCAATTAACAAATCATATTTTTCGCAATGAAACAGATCTAAAACCACAAGAACAAGATTTTCGACACATTGGCTATTTAGCCTCTGCATAGAGAGACAGCTCAAATAATTCCAAACACTTGCTGTCATGGTTTTAAATCCGCTTTACAGAGAAAATAAAAGGTTGTCAATTAATTGAACTTTACCAATTAATCCTCTTAAAAACTGTTTTAAGAAATTTCAAGATAAAGCAACGGTTTTCAATGTTCTCTGAAAAACTGTTAAACCATTTTCGAAAAAGAAGATGCCAAGATCGTCTGTTATATCTAAACATCGAAAAATTCTACAGGCATCTTGTAATGTGTACTAAAATTATCTTCATAAGTTTTGATAAAAAAAAGATCTTACAGATAATCAATATGATTTCAAGATCTTGAATAGAAATTTTTAAAATTTTAAAGGACTAGAAAAAATGCTGAAACCAATCAGTGCAGAATTTCAACTCGAAAACTTGAACAATATGTATATATTGATGTGAATATACGAACAGAAGTTCTTATTTTATGAGAAATCAATTAAGATCGAGTTTTATTGTTGTTGTCTAGTACAGTATCTTAGAAAGAATTTTCTATTGAGGAAGGAATTGATATTTTTCAAACAGAGCATGTAAGGAAGATCAATTTTGTGTAGATCAAAAGTAAGCAATATTCTTTATTGAGTATTTACTTTGCAAGTCAAAATCCACTGAATAATATCTTCAAAAATTTATATTCTAAAATAATTACTAAGAAATCAATTGAATGATTCATTGTTAGTCTATCGAATACGATACAATTATATAATCAAATCATTTCTCCTTCAATCGATAAAAATCACTGTTCTCTACCTTATTCCTATGAAAAATTATATTAAAAACATCAATCTCCATTATTTTCTAGTACTTCTTTAGAAATCAATTTTAATCAAAATTCTTTAATCCATTGTAAAATACTACAAAGAACATTCTTAGTGAAGAAGATAACCGATTTCATGAATCAGATATGATCAAATATACATATCATAGGATCTCTACTTTTGTTATTTTCAATGAAAGTTCTTTTTAAAATATTTCGACAGTCATTTCAAGGATATTGGTAAGCCTATTTTCGATTATAATGATACTAAAATATAAATTCTTCGATACATTCAATATTTCTTCAAACTCAGGATTGAACATTTTTGATCGTGAACTCGATTCGAAGATCACTGATCAGAAATGATGTCCCAAGAAATTCAACAATACTTTCTTGTCACTACTTTGTTTTTAAAACGAAAATGCTTAAGAAAAACAAGTATTTGATGATTTCGATTTAAGAAGCTCAATTTTTCAAAGATTTAGTTTGACTTAAATTCTGTTTGATTAGTTAAACCAAAACAAAAAACAAATTCGAACCATTGAATTGATTTTGTTGATTTGCCAATGTTGATTTGATTTCATCTGCCAAACTTTTGATACGTTGTCGACATAAATAAAATAATGGTGTTTGAGGAACACAAGAATAATGATCATTTAATGTTAATATTGGTTGCATCATAGGAGTATTTTGTTTTTCATTATTAATAGAAAATGATGCACAATCAATTAATTCAAGTAATTTGCTATACTCACTATCTCTACTTGATAATTTAATTAAAGATTCTAAACCATAATCATCAACAATATATTTTAAAATAAATGAAACAAAATTTGTAAATGAAACTCTTATATGTAATTGTAAAGAATCAACTATACTAGTAAAATGTTTTCCACATAAAGTATCTTTTGCAAGATCATAAATTAAATTACAATTTTTTCGTAAAGATTCTTCTTTCATTGATACATTTTCATGATAACTTGTTATAATATATTTTTGTAATTGATTTACTTCTTGAAAAATATTTTTCAAACATTGTACACGTCGATAAGATGTTGTTTGACGTTGATAGAATTCATAAGCATTTAAATTATTAAACATATCTTTAGATAATTTATGAACATTTATTTGTAAACGTGAACAAAAATCCCATAGACAATCATCAAAGAGTATATTTAAATCATAAAATGAATTATCGAATGCTTCTTTTTTATGAGTTATTCCAGTTTTTGAAGTAAAAATTTGTAACATTTTTTGTAAATGAAATGCACTACCTGGTGTTGATGTATCGAGAAACCAATATTCCCAATCATGCAAAAGTATCGAAGGAAAACATGCTTTATAATTAAGTTCTTGTCCAGATGAATGAATTAGAATAATGAAAAATTTCGAAGAATTTTCCGTTGTTTTATTACAAGAAAGATCAGATTTATCAATTAATTGTCGAATAAATGGAATATGTATACGTTGTTGATTAATACGACCATCGACAATAATGATTAGAATTGATTTTTGATCGTTTTGTTCAAAATTTTGAAATTGTTCATTTAATTCGTTGGAATTCTCAATAATTCCCTGAAAAAAAAATGAATAATTTTGTTAAAATGACAAATAGAAGAACCAATGAATATATTATATTCGAAATAAACTATTCTCCGTAATAGAAGATTCCTTAACATGGATCGATACAAAAGACATATTAGAAATCTCATAGGTTCTATTGTGTCTAGACAGTTTTAGTTTTTCAAGCGAAATTTCCCAGTTGCTAATAAATTAATCTTGATGAGAATGTTAATATGTGAGTCTTCTCTTCTGTAGCATCCACATCCAATTCGTATTAGTAGCTACTATATAATAGAAGCTCCGAGGATTTAACAGTGACAATGCAGTCAATCTGACTGAAAAAAAACCAATCTCCAAATAAAAGATACTGAGTGGAAGACTAGCAGAAAAACCCGTATTTTCTTTTCAGATCTTTTAAAATGTAGACTGGAATCAATAATATGATGTGTATTGTGTCATTTCTTTTACTTCTAATGAGAAAAGACTCAGAGATATTGAAATAATCTTCAGTAATATTTATTTGAAAGTTGAATAATCGATTTCTCATTTGTAGAATTAATTCATAAAGACTATAAGTATTCGAATTCGATTTATTTAAAACATCAACAATTAATCCTAAAAGAACAACTATCTTCGAAAATGAGTCATTATCTACATTAGAATAGTGGCGGATCTACAATTTTGGAAAAGGAAAACAATCATGATTACAAAACATATTTTTGTCTATATTCTGCTGAAAAAAAACGAAAACTATTGCGACAAAATCTACCATTGCACCAACAATTTAAGTTTCATATAAGTTCGTTTCAAACGAACTGAACAACAATTACACTTGTACTTTTACTCGCTGAGGTTGATGAACCCGTTCCTTTTTCCCTTTAGTCACATCCTTAATCTATTAGTATATTGCATCACCATGGTGCTTATCCCTGTTCTATCATTACAACAAACATAATATGCGAAGAACATATTTCATGAGTGCAAATATTTAAATTTCTCTCTCCTCAAAAAAGAGATTAGACCTAGCTTATATTGTAGAGAATTTTTTATTGATCATAGCTTTTGATATTTTTGTTGCATCGATCTAATTAAATTGAATATTTTTTTTTGGAAAACGAACTAAATTTTGCAAAACATGATATTTTTCAGTTTGTTTTGGAAATGCTTATTGTTCATGAAGATACCTTAACTGATTATAAAAGTAAATTTCATTGTAAGAATCGATCTATAAATAGTTTCATCCATGAGTTAGGTTTCATCTCGTTTCTAACCGGGACACTTCAATATATTCTCTTGTCAGTCTGACTTTCATCAAGACTTCTTAATACAAGTATTATTGTCTGAAACACTTACTAGATTAATAATATCAACTTTTTCACTAATATTCATCAGTATATCGTTTTCATCATTTCTACGAAATAATTCATTTTTTGATTGTTTATTTAAACTAATAACAAATGATGATGTTCGCGTAAACATAATTAATTTTCTTGTTATACTAATATTATTATTTTTTTGTTCGATATTATCGTTCATTGCTAATAATTCATTATCTTCATTGGCTAATATTGGAGTAGAAATCAATTGATGAAGAAAACTTTCAATATTAAAATGTTCCTGCTGATAAAAATAATTTTGACATAATGATCTAGCCGTACCTTCTTCAAATGTTGGTAATTTAAATATCATTGATTCCGGTGAAGCTAATTGTAAAAATTTTGAAATAATAGCAAAAAGAAAACATAGTTTTTTATCGTTGATATCTTGTTCAATGAATGCTTTTGATTGAATCGTTAATTGATTATAGTTTTCATGAATATTTAATAAATAAGGTTCACCTTGAGCATTTCTTTTTATAAATGATAAAAGACATGAATATAATGTTTCATCAGTAAATCCATAAAAGTATTCTTTTCCAAAATGATCAATAAATGATCGAACTTTTGTTTCAATATTTTTCATAAGTTTTTGATCTTCAATAGGAATTTCTCTTAATTGAATTCTATAAAAATCTGATATACTAAAAGAATATTTTTGAAAACGACTTAAAAATGGTGCTGGAATATCTTTAAATTCACTTCGTTTTATATGAACAATACATTGAAAATCTTCATGTACAACGACATCGATTGTTTTCGGACCGATGGCTACTTTAGAAAAGATTTTTCTACTTTCTTCTGTAGCCATAATTGAAAAATTTTGATTAAAAACATCATAGAGTGAACCATGGATACGACCTGTATTTATCATTAAGATAGTTTTGCCTGTTTCCATACATAATTTTATATTTGATAAAATTTCAACATTTCGTAATTCATTATCAACATCATTCGGAAAATCGGACATACGAAAAACTGTAGTTTGACTTGGATCTGAATTGAGAATACCCAATTGAAAGAGAAGACGAACAGCACTTTCATCTTCAGATTCATCAATAATTAATTTATATCTACCATAGAGACGACGACGTGTTGGATCTAATTTCATTGAACTACGTAAAATTGTCGGAACATTACGTTGACTTTGTTGTTTTTCATTAATTAATGAAAAGAAATCAGGACATTGTTCGCCAACAACTGTAGAAAAAGTATTGACTACCTTATCAAATTCTTCCATGCGAGTTCCATTAAAATTATCTTCTAATGCTCGTAATAAACTACGTGGTGTTATTTCTCCGATACTTGTATGTTCAATTTCATTTAAATTCATCAATTCAAATCGTAATTCTCTTAACATATAAATAAAATCACGATCATGAAATATATGAGGAATATCTGGTGAATGAAGAATTCTTCGATAACCTTGACATAAACCATGAATAATCTTGTTAAGACGATTATCTTCATTTTCTTGTCGTTTTTCTAATTGTAAACCCAAACAACCATAAGCTAAAATTTTTTGATCTTCTTCAGATGGTAATGAACGATAAATACATATCATTCGATTAGCATTCGCTGCATCAAATGCTTTATTAGCAACGGCTACAAATGCTACTTTACAATCATCTAAATAAGGATGTAAAACTTTTAAAACCATTTTCTTTTCATCAGGTAATGAAGCTTCATCTAAGAAAACGACCTAAAATAAAAATTTTAATAGAAGCAAATAAATCATTATTTATTTTGTAACTTACACATCGTGTATTTATTCGATTTTGTTCATATTGTTGTTCACGTTTAATAGCACGTTCAAATATGAAAGCAATATCTTCTGAGCGACTGTATTTTGATCCAAGACAAAAGAATGGATCAATAGCTGGAAGACGTTTACAAAATGGTTTTGCTGATAAATGTGCACCTTGTAGATTTTGAAGAACAATTTGAAAAGATAATGTTTTAGATTGACCTTTTATAAAGAAAAATATATAGATTTATGCAAGTCAGATTAAAATAAATTATTTACCAGGAACACCAATGATGCATAAAGCTGTTCGTGTAACAATACTAACTACAATACCAAAGATATGTTCTCGAACCTAAAAGAAAATCAATTATTAAATGGAAAAATTTTTAAAAAACTAAATACATACAGCTTGATTAATTGCTACACCTTGTGGAATAGTAAAATTATTAGTATTTACAAATCGTTCAAGTTCATTTTGAACAACTTGATCGAAATCTGGTATAGCTTCAAAGAGAAGTTCAGCCAATTGGTCTCGTGATGGTGTTTTTGTATCATTACGTTGTAAATTATCTTCCTTTGTTGGAAGACGAAAATAATAGATCAAGGCAATTGATAAAGCAATACATTGAATAGGATTAGGTGTATAAGTTTTTTGATCATATTTAAGTTCATCATCATATCGCAAAGTCCAAAAGAAATCGATTAAATTAAAACATCGTTGAATTTCTCGTTGTGAAACAGAATTATGACCTATGAAAAAAATAATAGTATAAAAAAAACTAAATCTTATGAACTTATGAGGAAATTACCAAGATATTTTTCACAAAATTCTTGTGCTCTCAAGATCGAATCAGCTAATGTAGCTTGAACGTAATCCTCTAATGGCATTGTTTTACCACCTTTTGCTGATGAAGTAACTTGAAACATGGCTATTTTTCGAACAATATAATCAGCTAATGTTCGAGATTCTAAAGCTCCATAGGAAACTTTTAAATCTTTTAAGGATTGAGGTAAGTCACGAACAATATAATCATTACGATGAACTTGTTCGGTATTCTCTTCGATTTTTATCAATGGATTAATAGCAGCAGTAAAGAAGATATTTTTCGGTATATTTGTACCATGTAATGTACCATCCATAAACATTTCTTTGAATAGACCAAGACATGAAGCTGTATTAACTTCATCAAAGAAAACAACAATTTCTATTTCTGGTAATTCTCGAGCTAATTGAGAAATCGGAGACATAAATTCAACTAATTGTTCTTCAGAAACACCAGGATGTAAAAGAAGACGATAAAATAAAGGTTTTACATAACTATTAAATAAATATTCTTTGAATATTTCAATAGACATTTCAGTAGTAGGTGAATTAACTTCTTGAAGTAAATCTCGTAATCGAACACTACTTCCTATTAATGGATAATTAACTAATTCATTAGTAACATAATCATGTAAATTTCGAATTAAATCAGCTGTCGAAGCCGTAGCATATTCAGTTGCCACGTTTAGAATCGTTTTCCAGATATGATATAATATAGTTTTCTTTAATTGTTGATTTTTTAAATATTGCTTGATTTCTTTTAATAGAACATCATCAACTGGTTCATTATTTTTTGCTTGTTGTGCTACTACAGGTGGAATTTGTAATGGTATTGGCCGTTGATTAAGAAGTTCGGCTTCATCTTCATCATCATTGTCTAAATCTAAAATTTTTGGTTTAATACATTGAAGAAATGTACTCAAGATATTTGCTTGTTTTCCTATAATCGTTTCAATAATATTTAGAAGAAATTGATTCGAATGTTCCTTGATTTTTGGATAAATCTTTTCTTGAATAGGATCACTTGTATTTTTCGAGTTCAATAATAATGAATAAAATTTTAAAAGAAATGTTTTTCCTACACCAGTATCACCTTCAATAATTAAAGCTAATTTTGTTAATTTACGTTCATGTACATGAAAAAGTTTATAAGCAAAATTTTCTGTTAGAATAAATTTTGTTTCATGAACTACTTTCATAAATATTTCATATTTAATATCAATTAACCATGCTAAACATTCAGCAAAATAATCTTTATTTTGATATTCGAGGGATTTAAAGGGATTATGATTATTAAAAAGACCTTTTAAATCAGATGAAACATGATTCCAATCAGAATGTAATAAATGTAAAGAAAATCCAGGATCATAAACAAGATAAACACGAGGATAATTATTATCCTGAAAATTAATTTGTGTTAAATATTTTGCTTCATTAATCATCTGTTGCATAGCAATAGAACCTAAACATTGAATATTTTGATTCCAACAATAATAATGTCCTTCAAAGAAACGTATACGACGATATAAAAATTTTGTAAATGAAAGTTCATAAATTTTATTTCTTGGTAGTTCTGGAGCATATTTTCGAATACAATTATAAATATATGTACGACATTGATCAACATCGGTTATTCGTTCGAAACTAACGGCTTTATCAGGACCATCTTTCTCTGTTACTGCCATGCGATCGATAGTTTTATCTTCAAATGCTTTTAAAATTCGTGCTACGACTTCTTCTTCTTTTTCTATTGATAATTGATAATTTTCATCGGTAACTTCTTGTAATGTTAATGGAGAAATAATTGAAAGAATGGGTAAAATTTGATTATAATTTTCTTTAACATCAACACCACATACATCCGAATAAGGAATTTCAATCATAAATTTCCATGATTGAGTATGTGGTAAAGAAAATATCAAACCACTAGTTGGATCATTTAAACAACCACAAATAAATAGAACAAACAATGTTCGATTTAAAGCTTCGAATGGTGCATGAACAGATATATTGAAAAAAATCGATGGATTATTGTTAGTCATCTTTGAATCAAATAAGAGAAATGAACTAATTAATAATGAAAGATTTAATTTATCATTAATACTAAAACATGATGTATGATCAGTTCTCAATTCCTTATTGATACGATGAGTTTTACCTGAAATGAAAAAGTAAGAAAATTCTTTTGTTTTTAAACAAAGAAAATGTATCACTTACCAATACCCGCTTTACCATAAATAATTTGAATTTGTGATGATACAATATGATGTTCATTAAATAAATTCATTAAATGTTGATAACTTTGATTAGGATCTTTGTATCTGGCTGGTATTTGAAATTCTCGTAGACCTTTTCGACCAGTTGTTAATTCACGTGAAAAATAAAACACTTGACCATGTATATCTTGTTGACGTGTCAATAAATCTTGTTCATTTAAAAGTATTTCACGGAGACGATAATGCATTTTATCAATATCCATAATAACAAAAGTAAGAGAAGAAAATGTTCGTATACGAGAAAAAAATAAATGAATATCTTCTTCTGTTGTATTCGAACACCAAAGAATTTGATAAGAAGATGGTAATTGATTTCTAAAAATATTCATAAGAATACAACAAGTATTCAAATCGAAATCATGTGAAAAAGAGATTTGATTTGGATTCAATGTAGGACGATTGATACTGACTATAAATTGTTCATTTTCATTATGTATTTCATGTCGTTGAAATATTTCTCCAACATGTTCAAATGCATCTTTAAGAAATTCTGTTAATTTTTTTAAACATGCATCAGTATTTGAACCGGCTTCAATACGATGTTTTTGATAAAGTTCAATAAGATGATTTGTCGTTAAATTTACTTGAGAAATTCTTAATGAACGAAGATAATGTTCAAGACAAAGAATAGTTAATTTTTGTTCTTCTTCATTTTGATTATCTAAATCTTTAAATTCAAATAGTTTTTTCAAAAATCGATTTCGAATAGTATTCTGTGCATTTGATTGTCGAAGTAGAATAATCAAAATCATTATTTCACGATTAGAAAATAATTTCAATAATGAACATTCTTGACGATATTTACTCAAATTTTGTATCCATATATCATACGTAGTTTTCAAAGCATTGTGTATTAATTCTAAATTTTGAATTCGAGTATGAATAGCATTATCTAGTTGAGCATTTTGATAAGTTCGTGAATCGGTTAACATAAAACCAGCTTGTACTGAAAAGAAATTTCAATAATATATTTAATTATTGATCGAAAAATTTAGTCTTACTTCCTTGAAGATGTATTTCATAATGTTCATCTCGTAATTGATAATCAGGATGACCACCTAATTCTAATTTAGTAAAAATATGATAAATATTTTCAATTGTTTGCAATAATTTTAATTGTCCATTGATTAAATTTTTTTTATAGACTAAATTTTGTTGAACATCAACATTACAAAATGTTAATTGCCGTTTATGATCATCAACATCTGACATTGATAATTGAAATGAAATTTTTTTCGCTTCAATTCCATCGTTCTGTCCACCTTGTAGGTTTTGATTATTTTCATTTCTTATTGTTTTCGTTCCAACTTGAATACGATCAATTGAATAACCAATGTCATAATAGGATTGTTGTCTTGTTAAACGTCGTAAATGAATATCAACTGTTCCATTTTTATATAAATGTTCCATAGTAATCAAAGCATTGTCTAATACTGTCGTTTCTTCTGCTGATAACCACATTGTGACAAGTTGCATATTATCATTAGTTACTAGAAAATACAATGATTTCAATAATATTTTCAAATTTCTTGAGTAGAAGTTGATCGAAGGACGAAAAGTAAGAGCCGCTCACTACTATATAAGTACTTTAGACAACTAGATTCAGTTTTCCGGCTTCTTCTAACTTTTGTCTATCCAAACAATAGGACATGTAGTAATGTTTTGAACAACTTGATAACAAATACAACTAGCGATCTGCGGTATTCATCATTCCAAGAGAGAAGACTCAAGGCTATCAACATAAATTTTATTGGTCAACAATTAGTCAATCAGAATATTTCTTAGCAGAGATTTTTCAAATAGGTATTCTGAAGCTATATTCTTTTCGAATAAGATTTTTAATAGAACTAATTCATAGACAATATTCTTCTCTTTCGATCTCCATAAGGCCGGCATTCCTAGCTAACTCTACTCGAGAGTTGTCAAACTTTTTCTGAGGCCCCGATCTCATTTATTTGATATTTGATGATCCTAGTAAACGATAGATAGATGCAATTCACCATGTTGAGCCGAACGATGACATTTAATTTCAAGTTTGATACGATTCGATACTCTTACCTCAATATTTCTTGAATTCCAAAACCAGTCTCTATGTATAGCGAAGGAGTCGACGCTTCAAAAATCCTGAGATAAGTGTCAGATCACTTTGAATATAAAAACAAATATCACTATTCGACTCAGCATGGTGAACTACACTTGTCTAGCTGTTTTTTAGAATGATCACAGCTCAAATGATTGAGATCGAAAATTTTTAGAAATCATCGGAAAATTCTCGACTAGAGCTAGTTAAGAATGCCGGTCTTGTGTAGATAGAAAAAGAAGAATATTTTCTATCGATTAACTCTATTAAAAACCTGAATTGAGAGGAAAATACCTTTAGAATGCTATTTCCAAAATTCTTCACTAAGAAATTGCCGATCAGTTAATTACTAATTGATGAAATTTCTGTATACTTTGATGATTCTGGATCTTTTGCTTTGAATGGTGAAAGTTGTAAGGCGCTAGATACTTTGCTCTCAAATTATTCGAAAAATTGTGCGTTCAATACTTTTAGGACAGACGATAGTTTCCACTTTGAATGTTCTCTACTATTATTTTTCTCTTCTCTATTCTAAAGTTTCTTGAAAGTAAGGAAAATTTTGAAAAAAACCATCAGAAAATTTCGGCTATCGATTATAGCATCTGTTTAGACCTCCACTTATGACAGAAACTTACCTTTGATATGATTCAATGAACTTTCTTCTAATTTTGTTATTTGAGCAAGACGAAGAATAAAATCATCGAAATTTTTTGCTTTAAATGTAAATGGTTCAATTAATGTATAAGTTATAATCCATGAGGTTAATATCATATTATTTAATTCTTGTAATTGAAATTGTGTTGTTAAATTATCTCGTAATTCTTGAAAACGACGTCGACCATGTTGAGAATATAGATCAGCTTTTTTCATCATTTGAATAACATTAGAACATTCGACTACTGTTTTAATTAATTGTAAATGTTGATGAGTTAAAGTTTGAAAACATTCTTGTAAAATTCTATAAGCATTAGTTATTTCTTTTAATGAACAATTTTCATTACCACTCAAACGTTTTAAATGATCAATTTTTTCTTCTTTATTATCTGTTGGTAATAGATCAAATTTTTCAATACATTCCATAATAATATTAAGATGACTATAATATTGATAAATTTGTAACCATTCACAAACTTGTTCAATTTCTTGTTCACTTGGTTGAATCTTTGGAATTTGTGCAACAGTAGTTGGCATATTTACTCTATTATTACTTTGTTCATTTGAATGATTTATATATAACTTTTTAACTTCTTCTCGAATATTAATATTTTTATCTTTGAAAATAGGTTGTAATTCTGCCATCTCTTTTAAACTTATGTTACCATTTAAAAGTTTATTTATAAAAATAAATACGTGATCAAGTAATTTACTAAAATCAACTTCAGAAATTGTTTGAGAAGTTGGTCGATAATATTTATTAAATTGCATATCGGATATACCTTGAAATAAATGACAAGTTGATAAAGGATTAGATTTAATTCGATACCAAACCGTCAGAGGATTTGCATAATCTTTATTATCAATAGTAATTAATAATTGACCATTACGCTGAGTTTCAAACTGACCATGAAGAACATTTCTATGAATAGAAACATTTCCTTTTTGATATAATATTTCATATTGATTATTTGCTCCATAACTTCGATATTCAACAGTAATATCACATGGATGATTTTCACTGGCCAATGACCATTGAACTTGTTGACGATCTGTTATAGAAATATTCTGTTCATGTGTTTTTCTACCGTTTACTGTAAATGTATTATGTGGTTGAACAAGTTTTAATTCTGTAAATGTTATTGTATTCTCTTGTATATTTAATGTTCCTGGATTAAGAATTTGGAATGGAATTAAGCAATTGAATAGTTGACAAAGACGTTGAAGATCTTTGAATGGCTGTAAAAGTCTCAATGCAGAATTAATAGTTACTTTCGTTTCAATCAATATCATTTTAGAATCATCACGAATTCTTAATAAATCAATTAATATTTGATTCGAACGATTAACATTATGAGTTTTTAACCAATCGATAATATGTTGAAAAACATCAATGAATCGATCAAACCAATTGAACCATTCATTTATCTGTTTCATGAAATGAGTAAAAAACTCCTTGTTAGATCTGATATTATTGATATCAATGTCTTTTGGTTTTGGTAAACCAACGATATCATCCATGTTTGTACTTGTCGATGGAAATTGATATCGTTGACGATCAACTGTGCGGAATATACTATTCATATCGATCAATGGAACAAAACAATAAATGATCGAATCAGTTAACAATTCACGATATAGTGAGCATTTACCTAATAAAAAACTCATTTAATAACAATTCATATGATTCAAACAGATCAACAACCATCATTAGTGGCTAACAATGATAGAAACTCGTAGTACAGTCTGTCGGGTGAGACTCATCGTCTTTCGTTAGATTCAACATCTGAATAGTTTCTATGGATTAGACTTATGTTTATGTCTGAATCAGCAAATTCTACTATACAAGTGAGAGGCCTACATTAACTTCTTGAATTCTTACAGCTTAGACATGTAAACAATGCGATAAGTACCAAACAATTTGAAAATTTCGCGAGAAGTCCAAAGTTCGAAAACATTGTGAAACGTGTCAACTAAAGCTGATCTTAGCTGATTTTTTTGTGTCAAATAGTGGAAGTCTGACAATTTTACTGTCGATATCACTTTTCAAGTGGTTAATTTCTGATGAAGATGACTTTTTATTAGTCATTTTCAAGATTTTCGAAAATCGCTATGTAAAAAAGTGAATTTTTGATTTTGTTTTTAAATCAAATATCTCTCTCGATCTATACTTTTTCCTTGAATCGAATGACAAATGCACTTTTGAACCTTATAGTCGGTTTTTCTAAATTATCATCATTCTCAGATATAGTCATGGAACTTCTAAAACTTCTCCAGTAGTGAACTTTCACTCGTACATGTAGCACTATCATTTCCAAAGTTTTCTCTTATGGTCAATGCAAGTTGACCATGAAAATTAATATTGAATATTTTTAATAATATTTATAGTAGATATATGAATCTTTCTATTCATAAAAATTCACGATTCGTTTTCCTGAGATTGATGCAAAATCAAAAAATTCGAAAATAGTTATTCAAATCACAATTGTCATTCTGTGCAGGAGAACGTTAAAGGTCTGTAAGTTTCGCCCTTAGATGCAGAACAGCTTCACAATTCTAAAATTTGAAGAAAAGTTCAGTGTTTTTATTGGAAGACTAACAGGATACTTGTGCTCAAAAAATAGAGCACAAAATAAGGGAGCCAATTGCTACAAAAGATAGATAACCTGAATAAGTAGTGTTTATAATAAGATTTTCAGATCTTGGTCATTTGAAAAAGAAGAGACAGTTTAAACATAGTCTGCCTGAAAGACTCCGCATTGTCCCGTATCTAGGCTCTTCACAAGTATTGTACATTTTCTTGAGTTGTACGGTTTCCTCTAACTGTTCATGTTCTATAAACACATTAAGAAAATGTAAACTCTGTTACCTCTTCGGAAGAGTTTCCAAACAGTCAATATATGTACACTCTAATAAGAAGTCTATGAAGTTTATGTGAGAAATAGATAGAACTTTGTAGTTACCAGCTGGAAATAATTAGACAAGTGTATTGTATTTTCAAAGCAACTATCAAAACTATGGAAACAATTTCATTGGAGATATTGTATGTGTGAATCAGATTCGAATTCATTATTGTAGGTCTCGATGAGTTCTGCTCAAGCAGTAGCGTTTCATAGTAAAATATTTTCTAGCGTTGCTACACCAATTCGCAGTTGATCGCTATTTCATTCAAGATAATGTTCGTTTTCCTTATTTTCAATCTCGAAAGAAGCAGTATGCAACGGGACATTGTTAAATGATTATAAGTGTTGCGTTTTGTGTTTTGTGCTACTCACTGCCATAGCTAACTAGATATATGTCAAGTGATAAAACTTGAATTGTAGGAATCTGAGCGGCAAATAATTTCTCTGATAGAAAACTCTACAGAATCTCACGGACATAGAACGAAAGAAAAAATATCGATAAAGAAGATTTTTATATTGAAATGAACTTACTCTTTAATTGAAGAACTTCATGAAGGATTTCTTTGCCATTGCCGATAAAATTGTTAATTCCTTGAACATCTACAAGTACAGATGTACTGTCACGCATTGCTATGACATAATTCATAACGATGTCAATATTGGGTAGCATTAAGATTGTTCTGGAATATTTGACAAGTACTAATTCAAATAATTGATTAAGTGTAATAATTGTGAAAATGTCTGTTGGATCATAAATATCACGTTTAACAACTTTCATCCATTCATTAATTTTGCTGAGAATTTCAATATGATTACTATTCAACATTTTTGAGAGACTTAAATATACAATTTTTGACCAAACATATATTGCCCAAGGATTATTCCTATGATTCTCACATAAATATTTGTAAGTGTCTTGGTCTAGTTTCATCCATATTGAAATATGAGTAATCAGGAAATCTTTTAGACACTCATCGTCAATAATTTTATTGGCGGTATTTTTTTCGCATAAATTCTTATCAAAATTTTTCAAGTTTTCAAACAAAATTTTGAGTTTTTGTGCATTGGTCTTCTGAAAACTGTCAACTTTAAAGAGAATTTTACGAATAAGAAGTAAACAAGATGGTCTTTGAAGAAGATTCGTGGAGAATATTTCTAAGCCCACTTGTAAAAATTCTTTGCAATCCGTTTGAGTCAACAGATATGAACGCCGCGGATCACTGAGCCTTTGAAGAATATAAGCGTCAAAAATTTTCTCGAATAAACTGATGAAATGTGATCGAAATTCAGGTTGTAATTCTTCTAAATATTTCTTAGCTGATTTTGTATATTCAAGAAATTTTCCCATATAACATGTTAAAATTTTTCCATTCAATATCGGAAATAGATGTTTTTGAACAACATCATCGATAGCTTTAATTTTGTATAAATGAAGAAACATATTCCAGAGATCATCTGTGTATACATTTGACGAATAATGAGAGAAATATGTACTAAATAGATAATCTTGTGATTTGATCCATGTAAATAATTCGGCAATATCTCTCATTTCATACCATTGGTTTTTCATACCATGTAAGAATATTGGCATGTATTCTTTAAAAAATAGTGTCTTATCGAGATTCAATATTGTATTCAATCGAACAAGAGTCTTAAATGGTGATTCGTTTTTTTGTTTTGTAGGATGCATTCGCCGAATGAGAAGAAAAAATACTGGTGTATTAAACGGAAATTGTTTGAATGCTTCTTGATATTTTACATACTCTTGAATAAATTGGTCTAAAGTATACTTTGTTATTCTTATTTTTGATAATATGTCAGTCCATTGAAGCTGATACCGACTATCATCCATAAACTTTGAGGTTTGCATTGATAGTTTACTTAGAACCAAGAACTTAAGCAATGTGCTTGAGTTGTCGATATCGGTAATTGATGATAGGTGTTGAGGAATGTCCATTCTCAACAATAGGTCCTTGTCTTCTACAAGGAGATTTGGCTGTTGACCATTTGTGTTTTCAAATATAGAGATCAGTATTTGAAACAAATATTGTTTGAGTTGTTGCATTAATTTGTAATCTATATCTATTCGATAACTGTATTTTTGTATTTGACGGTAAATATATAGATAAGCATCTATACGTTTTGGTGCGCGAGTACGATGTTTGATTGATGTTAAATCAGCAACTGTGCGTTGTGTAATATAATCCACATCATTAGAAGATATTGTATTTTGTCTTTGATTAAACTCTTCAAAATTCGAGAAATGTGAGAGAACTGCATCAAAAAATTTCAATTCAACATCGTTAGAATCGAATAGTCTTCCGAAAAGAGTTGCAGATTCAGATGGAGGTATTTTACTCTTGGAGCCACCCAAAATGTAACTGGTCATATTCAAAAACGTTAAAATTAAGACTTACTTAATATACAAATCTACAAACGAATAAAAATAAAAGAAACTTATAGTCCACGGCAAAGTTGTTTATGCGTAGATTAGGTTTTCGAAGCATTCAATCAATTTAATTATCTTAGCATGTATTGTCTCATTTTATAAAAGATAAATCGATTTAATTGCTGGTGTTTCAGACCATGAAGTCTGATTGCGCAGTCATTTTTCTCTGCATATGAGATGAGAAAAATAAAATGTGCGTATTTAGATAGACAAAATGAATACCAAAATTACAAAAATCTCAAGTGTTTTCTTAAATATAAAAGCTAGACATTCTGACGCGTTTAAACATTCAAACAAGATCTTATTCATTTAAAATTCTGAGTGATAATAAGAGTGGGCATGGGTGTGAGAGACGTTCTGGATTAGTGTGGAACGAGTAGCTGCCTAATTCGAGTTCGAATATAAACGGACATCCGAAAAAAGAAAACTACTGGATTTTTCTAGGAACAGATTTAGTTTTAGATTAACTTTCAGATAAATGAAAAAAAATATTCCAATCTCCCCACAATTAAACATGCGCTCTCACCTTCCCGCCCCCATAAAGAGAGAGGCGCTCTCCCCCCTACATAGATATGCTCCCCCCCCCCCCCTAGAGAGATATGCTCTCCCCCTAGAGAGATATGCTCTCCCCCCTAGAGAGATATGCTTTTCCCCCTAGAGAGATATGCTTTCACCTCCCCCCCACATAGAGAGAGGTGCGCTCTCTTCCCCACCCACACTTGCCACCTCCCTCTCATAGAGAGAAAAATGCACTAGCTCCCTCACCCACACTTGCTCCCCCCTCACAGAGAGAGAGAGAGAGAGAAATGGACTCCCCCTCATTCACACTTGCTCCCCC